ATGGTCATATATTCGAAGCTTTTTATATTGCTCCTGGATGAACCTTCAAATGAATACTATGCAAACGCGATTGGAAAAAATGAATGATAAATAAGTGAACATAGGAACGATTCAAATTGGTTGTGTTTCCAATTGGTGAACAGCTGTCTCTACTATAAGGAATTGAAAAGAAGATAGTTTAGTACGAAACCTTCCGACTACAGTACGTTCGACAGGTTCATTACGAAGTTCTTTCTGCTACAAAATCTGGAAAAATTTGTGTACGAAACCTATAAGATTACAAAACTTTTAGCGAGGCTTCATACATTAGTACAGTACTCTTAAGGTATAATAAACTTCTGTAAAACCCCGGAGGATTGATTTGGCCTTTTTTTTCAATATAGTTCAAGCGACTTGTGCTAGAACTCTTCTAAATACTTGGAATGGTTCTTTAGATTATCTAGAACCTTTGATATTGTATCAATAAACAAGTTAAATATTAAGAAGTGCACCATTTTGGGTAAAATCCTTAATAATTCCTTATGACACCGTGTTTTTTTTGGAGAGTATGTGAATGAAATCCAAGAAAATGAAGCAATAAAAAAATAGTTGTTGTATGATGTCATTTAATATATAGACGCAGTGCTAAATTTTTATATTTGGGCTAGAAGTGATATCTTTGAAGGATGATTTTGAAGTTCGCTCCCTATGGGATAAAATATTAGATGAAACGCATTTTAAAACGGATTGCACTGTGTTTTCTTTCAAATGAAAAGCATTTCTCTGAGTTCATGTTCGAATAAAACACGTTTATTTTTCGAACGAGTTTTACATCATCCATCCGCTTGGTCTATTTTATTTTAATTTCGATTATATTACTTTGACAGAACAGTTGTTTTCCTCAGATAACAACAAAAAAATCTACGAGTCATCTAGAATATTTCATACTCAATAGTTTTCTTCTTTCCTTTTACCGCTGAAAGGTTTTTTTTCATTGAAGTAAACGGTAGATGACAATGAAACTAAATTTGATCAACCATTCTTGAATAAAGAAATAGTATGGTCAGTTGAGCTGATTTAAATTGCATATTTCTTTATTTTCTCATTCTCCATCCTTTATAATCATCGGCAAACACAAACAGCAACAAAAACAAACAAATCAAATACGATGATGAGTAGATAACTCATCTCGTTTATTTAGTACCATCTGATAATTGTGCGTTGCAAGTCTTTGGAATGATCTCCGAAGTTATTTCTCAGCACTGAAATTTCGAGTAGAGCTCATTTTTTTCTTCTTTCGAAAAGTGAAATCTAAAGAATGAAACACTCACATAGAAAAATTTACTATTGGTTTAACATAACAAAACTGAAATAGGATACAAAGACTAAGTGTATTTGTAATTTGGCTTTTCGGTATTATTGACTTCTGAGTCTGTACTATTGTCTGTTTCATGGTCAGAACTAAATATAGCTACAAATAGAGATTAAAAGGAACTATTAAATCATTTATGTAAAGTTTTGTTTTCGTTATGCTATCAATTAAAATTTCTTTCTTTAAATCGATATTTAAACAGAATTTCAATTTACTAAAATTGATAATTTTTGAGAACTAATGCTCATTTCAAAAAAGAGAAAGTGTCAGTATTTTTTGAATAACTTTTGATAGAAACTAGATAGAGAGATTTGGTTTCATTGTTGAAAAGAGAAAACGAAAGTGCATCGAATAGTCTATATCAGAGTTTTCTGACAATTTTTCTCAAAAAGTCCAGACTTTCGAATAAGTTTATACGGTGAATTTCCCATGCAAAATCTGCCAATAACATGCAGTAAAATCTGTAAAAACTCATGATTGGCTAAAGCTTACAATATAGGGAACTTACAGAATATATCAATCTTCGATTAATGATTCTATTGCACTCCTGAAAATTGAAAACATACATCTTTTAGATTAGGTAATCTTTTCTGTTTAACAAACTTGATGGTAGGCTCTGAGACAACTTGTTTAAAAAAATCTAGTATAGACAAGTCGATGCAGTTTCATCTTCTCTTCTAAACGCTAAAAATCTCACCCCTTTGCCTAGTTTTTATCAAGAGCTATTCAAAAAATACTCACAGTGTTCCTATTTTGAAATGAGTATTATTAAGTTTATAAAGCCATTATAAAAAGAATAGAAAAAAAAATTAAACGACATGTTCTGAGTGTAACTTTTCACATAACATCTAATAATTTGTTCCATTGATGGCTAGTTGCTTTCGGAGAGATATTATTCAAGAAATTAACTCCTTTGGATATTACAAAGCTTCTGTTAGATTACTTTAAAAATATATTCTCATGTCTTGCCATTTTACTAAATAAGCAACTATTAGCCAAACCGATTTTGTTCTCTAGTGTATTCGAATCATTTAGTATAATGTAATGCTATGAATCATCTGTTTGACTTATATAACAAAAGAGTGCAGGATAAAGATCAAATCATCTGCATTTCTTATTTCTGTTAGTTATTTAATATTAATACTTATTAAAGATATTACTTTCTTGCCCCGCTTCTACCATAAACAACATACAAGAGTGAAAACAAGACAAGAAGAAGAATCGAACGTTTCTGATTGTGTTCTCATTTTACTTGTTATACTGGCTCATTATTCATTCAAAACAAGTTTTATCATTGATATATCATTCTTAAAGCACAAAAAAATAAAATTGACATGAATCAGAAAGGGTATGTCACTAATGCAAACTGATTACATACAGTAAATAAAACTTTTTTTAATCATTGAATGAGGTTGTGAACATTGTCATATTCATTCTTCTCGTAGCACCATATGTCATATACTGGCAGTCTATGTAGAACTTGAATAGTAGATCTCATTGTAGCTCAAGTAATTTAAACATCTAGCTAGATGAATTCAAGTCGGCTGCCGATGTACCATAGAGTTGCCAAAGCAATTCATCTTATTCTATCTACAAATATGCATTAAACTTAACATAGCGAGACAAAAATTGAAGATTACACCATTATTAGCGCAATATTGGAAAATGTATTCATGTGAAATCTATGCTTATACTCATACGATATGACTCAGACTACAATGAACAATCTATTTGTTCGAGCTGCTTTAGGTTAATCTTATGGATGAGAAATATTAAAACTGCTAACAGAATAATTCTTTATCGACCAGCCATTATATGTTAAATTATAAGTAGTCTTACTTTAGCATAAACGCAAGGAACAGAATATTTACGGAAAGCAATAATTTTCTATTTCTTCTGATTGTACTTTTAAAAAATCCGTTTCTTGGAAAATTTATACCCGCTCGAAAACATCTTCTTAGACCTTCAAAGGTTTTCAGACAATTGTAGCGTTTTTGAAAATACCATCTTAGTTGCCGAAAATACCGATTTCGACACCCAGAAAGTATTTTATAATATCTTTCTTTCGCTGTAAGAAACCTAATAGTCATTTCAGAAACCATTAAGATACTATAGGAAACTAATAATGCGGGGAAAACTGAGTTGGTATTCGAAGAAGTTTCCGAAGATACCTTTTCGAATGTTGAAAGTTTTCCTAAAATTCACTTCTCAAAAAGGTATAATGGGAAACCAAAATCCATTTCCGATTTTTTTGTTTGACACCTTGAAAGAGTTACGAAATTTTTATAATTTTCTGAATGTTTCACAGAAAGATTGTGGTCAGAATCCAGAAACTAATCAAAAGAACAATTTTGGTACTCTAGTTTTTTTATCCTCGTTTTCAATCAGTTTTAGAGATTTTTAGTTAACTAAAAATTGTTCATATATTTAGTGTAACTTATTTAATTATGGATCGTCCTTTCTTTACATTATTATTTTTTCAAGAAAAAATCTTATGTTATCTTTATATTCTTGAGTTAGTGTCAGTTTTGAATGTATGAAAAAAACTATGATGCTAACTATATACAAACAAACAATATTAATAACGTAAAACTCATATTTTTCTTTGATTTACTTCATTAAATTTCAATAAAATAACGATCAAATATAGCTATTATATGGTTTTAAAACGTCTCAGGAAGTGAGAATGCTAGAAGCTTTTGCTTTTAGATGGCTATTATAAATGGTTATTCCTAAATATCATATGATAGAAGGGCTTCAAATCAGGGAAAATACTTCAACTTGAGCAAACACTTGAACATACTATTGTCATTTATATGGCATCTAAGCAATATGTATGTACATTGTTGTAAAAAGAGTAATGAATCATGGCTCTAAAATTGTTCTCTTTTTTTCGATTTTTTCCTTGCTTTTATTTTGTAATCAAATAAAAATGAAACATTTAAGTCTCTAATCTGTAGATTCATACCGATAGACCTATGTTCGACTATTATTCACTTTCATTGTAGTAGAATTTATCGTGGTCACATTGAGATTCGTCGAGAGACTACCTTTTTACTATTGTTTTGAAAATAATTAGGCATAAAAATTTATAGTATTTAGTTTTCGATTGATAAACATTTTTATTCTAGTTTTTCGTTTTTCGAATGAAGGATTGATTTTCTCATATAGAGAATCCACGATGGAAAACATCGTTCCATTTGTAAGTTACATATGAGTGTAGGTTCATATTGATGAAATACTAATGGTAAGTTATATATTACAAATAGAAATCTTCTAACCTTTATTTAATATTTAGGCTCATATTGATGAGATACAACTGATGAGTGACATATTATGAATACAAAATGAATATTTTATTTTTTATAGTTAGGGACTTATTGATAAAACACAAATGATTAATGATATAAGAAAAGATAGATCACATCCTTCTACTTTTTAGTTATTGCTTGTCCACCATTCTAAACACATCGGCTTTTCGGACCTTCAATAGAGTTCCTACAACGTCTATCAAAGTGTCGAAATCTGTTTAGTCTACTCCAGCATCTTCGCTTGGTATGTTGCCTTCAAAGAAATTGCGACGGTAGTGACAAAAAGTTCTGTGTCAAAAACAACATGTGAGTAAATACAAAGAAAAAAAAACATTGACTTAATAGTATATACATTTGCCAGGTGCTGCAAAAGATTTTTGTATCCATTGCGACATTGAAAAGACAAACTTTTCACGTAATTGTAATGTTATAACTAACCATTCGGTTGATAGATCATCAGTTAATTCGCTAATTAAACACATTCCTTGTGATTTCAATCTATTATCAATTTATTGACCATAAATGTTTGATCGGGTTGAGATCAGAACTTTTGGTGGATCATTTAAGTGCTTTTGCATGTAATTCATGTTATTTTGCTTGAGTTTGTTTCGATGTATGCAATCGAGCATTATCATGCTGGACGATAAAATTATCTTCCAAATCATATAACTCTATAGTTGAAACCAATTAATTGTCCAAAATGTCACAATAAATATTACTATTGATATTTACACTGTAAATTCTAAAACAGCTTGTTCCCTTCCATGTAATAACGCTTCAAAATCCAGCTCGACTACCAGTGCCTGTAGGTGCAACCTCCATACAATCGTCTTTTCATTGTTCGTCTTTTGTGTATCATATATTTTTGTTTCGCTTCTACGTTTAATGACGTATAATGTTGATTGATTACTGAATAAGACCTGATTCCAAACACAACTGAAGTCTAGCTTTCCGATATTGTTTATTAAGAAACTGTTTTTTAATCTTACCTTTGTATTCAAAGCCACATTCTTGAAAATAATTGATGATTGTTCTTCTCTGGGTCAATTTCTCTAATGATTTGTTAAATTCTATCATTATTTCAGGGGCAGAACTTCGATTATCATCATCTTGAGCCCAATGCTTCAACATACAAACATTTTGTTGATTTTGTTTTTCTAGTCTACCACAACGATGATGGTCTTGAAAGCCACCAGTTTCTTCGAATCTTTCCAAAGCACGTTGAACCGAAGCTCTCGAAATACCAGCATTTGTACCGATTGCATGATAAGACATACCGGTCTTTCTTAATGCAATACATTGAGCTCGTTGATATTCATCAACATTTTTTTGTGTCATTTTACTTTATTTAATAAATATTTATTGAAAACTAATCTTTTAATAGCAAGTAGTGAATGTTAAACTCAAATTTATTTGATTATTGAAATCTATTCTCATGAAGAATGAAAGTGTGCACGGAACTTTTTGTCACCACTATATAACTCACTTTTTCTGGATTTCTCAGAATTCGAAAACTCTTAAAGGGTTGAGGAGTGTTCAAGGACTAAGATTTGAGAATTCTCTCAACATCTATAAATACCAGTAAAACGCAACAAATTTCTCGAGGACATGCAAATTGAGCCCAAACAACTCACATATCCCCTACAGCTGCTTATCAATTTCATTCGAGGAACTATCATCACAGTCAAATAAGGTTGGTTTCCATCCTCAATCACTTCCCGATTCTGCAAATCTTTCCTTGGAGATGACCAGAGGACATTGCCTAAGATAACGAAGCGAGAAGATAACTAGAACTGATAATCAATACCATTCAGAGGAATTGGCATTATGAACATAAATTATCAGCAAAACAAACTTCACAAGTTCAAAGAAACAAAAAAGTCAACACACAAATATTCAAAATTACCACGGAACTCAGGAATTATAACAATTCTGCTGATAATACCTAGGAACTCCAGCAGTCATCTAGAGGGGAATCTATCCTCACTTTCCCGAGGAACTGGGGAACTAACACGTAATGATGATAGTATACAGATACATATAATAAAATATGGATTTTTCTATAAATAAATTCATAAATATTTTTATTGAGCAACATCATATAACAATGTAAGATATCAACTATAGATCACCTATTACTTAAGGCATTCCAAAAGTAGTGGCAATGACACTTTCATACTATATAGTAAGCTTGAAGAAATTTTCTTTTTTATGTGGTGATAGAGAAAACAATGCTCTATTTTTCTGTGCTATTTGATCATTCTTCAACTAATATCATAATAATAAAATTTCGATAAGGACTGTTTTTGTGTATAACTTCACTAGTGGATGAGACAGATTAACATGGAGTGGCAAATCTCAAACTGTTACCAGTTTTAAAAACTGAGT